GATATAAATATTAATAGATTGATTATACATTTATTGTTACTTACTTTGCATACAGATAACTGTGTGTTAACTCTAAACTCTCGTCATAACCAAATTTGCGCAAAACAGTCCATGTTGTTTCATTTCTACCTCTTTGGATAAATAGGCAATGTAAGAAAATAAATCCTTTCATAGTAATACAATCATTTTCTATACCACCAGCTATATTTTGTGCAATAACAGATTTTACTTCATCTAAAACCTAAAAAACATTAAATAACTGTTTATTGTCCAAACAAAACATTACATAACATATTTTATATCCAAGATTTAAAACATATAATCTTATAAAACAAGCTTTGTTGTTGATAATAAATTACTTTGGCAGTTTTTTTTTATTATGTATCTTACGGAATAGTGATAAAAAATGCAATTGCTAACATATTATATAAGCATAATGTATTACACATTTACTACAATAAAAAACTAAGCAAACCTGCAATTGTAGAGGAGTATCAAAGCATTTCTTTTGAAACACAGTTATTTCATAATCATCAAGTAATCCATCACCATCCAAATCACAAATTTTAAATATTCTTGACAATGCTTTTTTACACCTTTCAGTTAACTGAAAAAGAACATGAAATGAAGGGTTACAGGACTAGTGTGCTGTTATCTTTTTAACTAAATCTAGCCAATGCACATTATAAATATAGTCCATACTACCTCTTGTTCTTCAATAGAATAAATAGGTCCAATTGGATGCAAAACAGCTTTTTGTGCATTATAAAACATTTCAGAAACATTTGTTAATGTTTTTGCAGAACACTCTATACATCTGTCCACTTCTGGATATTCTTCTGCAATGTCCCAAATATTCTGAAAAGCAATATTTAAATTACACTTTGTAAAATAATATAGGAGTGACATAGTTTATATTCTTATTGACATTAACCTGTTAGTGTTTTTTTATATAACAATATTCATATCATAATATGTATTGTGATATTATGTATTGTTAAAATTCTTTCCAAACACAAAAGATGTTATGTATCATTGTTATTAAACACATTTATCAACTTTTTTTAAGAAAAATATATTAAAACAACTTACATCAATCACTGAATAATCAATGAGGTCGATTTTATTTCCCACCAATATGACAGGTTTCCTACAGTCATCAGGACAGTTGTCTCTTACAAATGGGAGCCAGTATGTTGCTATTTTATCAAGTGTTTCTTGTTTATCAACAGAAAATACAATACATATTACATGGGCTTTTTCTATTTCTTCAGCCACTTGTTCGATAGATTGCTCCGCAACTGCAATAAAGAGAATTTTACTTTCTTAAACTGGCCAGATATAAAACACTGTATTTTTATAATTGAATACTTACGACACACATCAACAATGTTCGTGGGAACCTGTTCAGGGGTTACATCCGCAGGTATAGTGATCTCTTCCGCCTTTGGTGGTACATGTTCTGTAAACTCTTCAGTTACCAGAGACAGAATCAACGAAGTTTTACCGACTCCTGGTTCTCCTAACAAAATAATCCGAACTGTCCTAGGTACAGTTTCATATACCATTTTGATATATTTGATGCCACTTTAGGCATAACATGAAATAAATAATTCTAAAATCTCTCACATGTCAACGTCGAATTTGTTATAATCACAAAATAGCTTAAACTTATTCATAAAATAAAAATAAACCGCAGAGAAATTATTTATACAGATTTGACAGATAGATTGTCATTTTTCAGTTTCACTCATTTCACTTACAATGATACCAATACCAAAAAATAATAAAAATTGATGTTTGTAAGAATAAAAAAAATAAACTGTCCTCTTAAGAAATCGCCTTATGTTTAAAGTAACAAGAAACCTGGTAATTTATGTATGTGAAGAGTAATTTACAGTTTTCTTTTGTATAAAAAAGTAACCGAAATTGTGTTTTCTTAGTATAAACATGTACTTGACAGTCATAGTTTGCAAACACAAAGTGTCAGTGTCAGTGTCAGCTGTCAACTGTAGGAGTCAACTTTTTCACATGTTCAAAAAAGTAAATTGAAACAATAACTATTCCTTTTTTATGTAGAATAATATTGATTTCTCAGCATTTCCATCAAGTAAACTATGGATGCACAATTTTATAAACACCTCGATTTTTAACATAGTTTAATTCATAGAATTTAAAACAAAAAATGGCTGAAGTAAATAAAAAAAATGTTGAATGGGAGAATACTAAAGGACTACGAGAACCGATAAAAGCGCTAGAGGTTAGTTACATTTAATTTCCATTACTTAGCAGAGGTACTATTGATATGGTAATAGTAAAGAGGTGTAGTGTGAATAAACATGCAGCATGTTGGTCAAATATTTTGGTTGTTGGTCAAATCGGTATTGCTATATCTTTTCACATATTTACAGGATAAATGGAAACTTGTCCCTTCATTTCTGCAAGTGAAAGGCTTAGTGAAACAGCACATTGATTCATTTAATTATTTCATCAATGTTGAGATAAAAAAGATTGTACAGGCCAATGAAAAAGTATTCTGTGAAGCTGATCCTCTGTTCTATATAAAATATTTGAATGCATATGTGGGGACTCCAGATTTAGAAGAAGGTTTCAATGTGACTAAAGCAGCTACACCACATGAATGCAGATTAAGAGATATGACATACTCGGCCCCAATAACAGTAGATATCGAGTATATAAGGGGCAACCAGAGGGTAATTAAGAATAAACAACTTATTGGAAGGTATGTATAA